GGGGGATGGGGACAGGGACACGGGGATGGGGACAGGGACACGGGGATGAGGACACAGAGATGGGGACATGGGAACATGGGGACATTGACGTGGGGATGGGGACAGGGACATGGTATGGGGACATGGGATGGGGACATGGGGACATGGATGGGGACGGGACGTGGGGACAGGGACACGGGGACAGGGATGTGGGGATGGGGACACAGGGAATGGGGACGTGGGGATGGGGACATGGGGGTGGGGACAGGGGAACAGGGACATGGGAACACAGGGACAAGGACATGGGGACATGGATGGAGACAGGGGGATAAGGACATGGGGATGGGGACATGGACATGGGGACACAGGGATGGGGGCATGAGGACAGGGACGTGGGGACGGGGATATGGGGACAGGGACAGGGATGGGGACATGGACATGGGGATGGGGACAGCGAGACACAGACATGGGGACAACGAGGAGAGGGACACAGGGATGGACATGGGGATGGACATGAGGACAGGAACAGGGGAATAAGGACAGAGACAGGGGGATGGCCGTGGGGACAGGGAGAAGAACATGTCCCCAGTGTCCCCTGTTCTCTCCCCAGTGTCACCTCGTTGCCCAGCTTTGTCCCCATCTCCACGGCCACCCTGGCGGCCACGCTCATGGCGGCCACGCGCCGCGGCTGCGTCACCCCGATCTTCAGCCCCCCCCGCGTGTAGCCCTGGGGACAGCGGGGACAGGGGGGTCACGGGGGGGTCACGGGGGGGTGACAGAGACCCCCGAGCCCCGAGTGACCCCCCCCGGACCTGAACTGACCCCAAAAACGAGACCCGAGCAGCGCGAACCCCCCCGGACCCCGAACAGCTCAAATCCCCAATTCACACCAAGTTCACCCCAGTCCCACCAGTAACCACCCACTGCCAGTGGCGCTCGGCCTCGGGGACATCCTGGGGACAGGTCAGTGCCATCGGAGTCACCTCAGTGTCACCTCAACGTCACCCAATTCACACCAAGTTCACCCCAGTCCCACCAGTAACCACCCACTGTCCCCATTGCTGGTGGTGCTCAGCCTCGGGGACGTCCTGGGGACACCGGGGACACCCCATGGTCATTGGTGTCACCCTCTGTGTCACCCAATTCACACCAATCCCACCAGTAACCACCCACTGCCGGCGGCGCTCGGCCTCGGGGACGTCCTGGGGACACGTCGGTGCCATCAGTGTCACCTCAGTGTCACCAAACTCACACCCAATTCACACCAAATTCACCCCGGTCCCACCAGTAACCACCCACTGTCCCCACTGCCGGCGTCCCCAGGCCTCGGGGACATCCTGGGGACACTGGGGACACCTCGGGGTCATTGGTGTCACCCACAGTGTCACCAAATTCACCCTAAATCGCCCCCAAATCCCTTCTCATAACCCCAAACCCCCCAAACCCCACCTTT